TCTCTAACTAAATTATTTGTCTACATTATTTTTTGCAATTTAATGAGCAATCAGCATTTACGATTATTCATATCGTACAGATACGTTTATGAGTTGTTTATTATATTATTGTATTATATTACTGTTATTATTATTATTATATTATATTACTATTATTATTATTATTATTATTATTATATTATATTACTATTATTATTATTATTATTATTATTATATTATATTATATTATATTATATTATATTATATTATATATATATAATAAAAATGTCTTATCGTAACTTTTACAAACTAATATAAAACAGTTGTTTTTCGTGCTCCGTAAATTTAGCGTTAACAAATAATAATATTCAATAAATATCTGCTCGTAGACCTGTAAAAAAGTGAGTCGTCTGAACCGTAAAAAAGTCAGTCCGACGAACCGCAAGACGACGCGTCCGACCGTGGCATTGTTCTGAAAATCGAGGATCGTTCGGAGCGTCGGCCGAGCCCTCGGTTTTATCCGGAAGCCGCCTTGATATAATTTCCTGCATACAATTATACGAGTTCCCCAGCTTCTGTAAATAAACATTGCCGTTCGCAGTTTCACCGAAACGTTGCGGCGCTCCTGGCAAAGACGATTACAGCTTGATTTCTCGAGCCCCGGCTCCCCCTATTCGGTGAATTTAGTTGCAAACGCAATCACGGCCGGAACGCGGGGACACACGACGACACGTTTTCGCGTTTATTTAGCGATTTTAATGGAAAAACAAGTACGGCCGACGGGACACCATCGAGGCGCATTCGCCGGAATTAATATCGCACACGGAACGAATCGAATAAATTTTCGGCGCCGAGTACCGGGAACCGATTTCGATCATCGATTCGCGTGGGCGCATTAAATGGGAACACTGCCGCGATATTTTACGCGGCGATCGTAATTATATAATCCGTGGCTGTGGACGCGACTGGAACGCGCTGTTGTCGACGGGATCGAGTGGACGCTCGCGCTACTCCCGCCTTTTATTTTTTTTGCCGCCGGAAACGTTGACGAGACGCGATCGTTAGCACGGCGTGCACGACCCCTAAACGGGCACCGGGATCGGCTTAGGCGTTTCAACCCTTTGCCTTGCGATTTAATCACCGTTTCTGGCCCGATTTTTTGACCACGTCTCTCAGACGTGATAGTCATTTTGGCCTGATTTTTTGATCGCGTCTTTCAGACTTGATAGTCATTTCTGAACCGATTTCTTGACTACGTCTCTCAGACGTGATAGTCATTTCTGAACCGATTTCTTGACCACGTCTCTCAGACGTGATAGTCATTTCTGATCCGATTTTTTGACCACGTCTCTCAGCCGTGATAATCATTTTTAACCCAATTTTTGATCACGTTTCTCAGACGTGATAGTCATTTTTGGCCCGATTTTTTTATCGCGTCTTTCAGACGTGATAGTCATTTCTGAACCGATTTCTTGACCACGTCTCTCAGACGTGATAGTCATTTCTGGCTCGATTTTTTAATCACGTCTCTCAGACGTGATAATAATTTCTGGCACGACTTATTGATCACGTCTCTCAGACGTGATAGGCCTTTCTGATCCGATTTTTTGACCACGTCTCATAGACGTGATAGTCACTTTGGCTCGATTTTTTGACCTCGTCTCTCAGACGTGATAGTCATTTCTGGCTCGATTTTTTAATCATGTCTCTCAGACGTGATAGGCCTTTCTGATCTGATTTTTTGACCACGTCTCATAGACGTGATAGTCACTTTGGCTCGATTTTTTGACCTCGTCTCTCAGACGTGATAGTCATTTCTGGCTCGATTTTTTAATCATGTCTCTCAGACGTGATAGGCCTTTCTGATCTGATTTTTTGACCACGTCTCTCAGACGTGATAGTCACTTCTTGCCCGATTGTTTGACCACGTCTTTGTGAGACGTGATAGTCATTTCTAGCCCGATAATCTGACCACGTCTCTCGGACGTGGTTGTAGGGCAATTTGGATCAGAAATTGGGCAGAAGTTTTAGGTTAGTTTCGGTCACCGCGTACAGTGAATTCTTTCCAATTTTATAATTTGCCGATTGTCAACGATTATAAAAACGAGGCGCAAGGATCGAATAATCGTATCTCCTCTTCCAAAATTGTCCACTTTTTTCTACAAGCTTTTACATTTTATTAGGGAGAATGAACTGTACCTCGTTCACGCATTTTTCGACTGTTGCTCTTCAACACCCCTTCAATCCGTCTGCTTTCCTATTCGACACGGATTAAATCCCCATTTTGATTTTCATCGATGAGCCGAGGGCCCGAAACGTTCCTCGAAACTCCATTCTTTCGCAGGCCGAAGTTGCGAAAGATTGCCAGGGGTCGGTACACTCGGGCTGGGTCCTTGGGGTGCGATTGAACCGTGGCAGTTCGCTGATCGATGGACCATGTAGGACAGCCGTTTTTGGCGGCTGTTAACGATTAGCAGAGGGGTCAGGCCGGCCGGGCCGAAATCGTTCTTAACCGTGAATCGAGGGAGGACGGATGGCTGGAAAGTATTCGCGGCGGTGTGCTCGAGGGTTCACGCCCCGATTCGCGGATTCATGATTAAACAGCTCGACCCGGATTTCGTCTGTCGAGTGACGATATTCGCCGAGTTCGCCGGCCGGGCGGTGCCGCTGTCGGATGAACTGTCCGCCGCCGAAGATGGGTCCGTCTGGACCCGGTGCGAGATGACAGGAGACATACCGAACGACGCGGAAGGCAAGGCAAAATTTAAAAAGAAATAAAGGCTTTTCAGTCGTTGTCTAGTAGATTAGTTCCTCTATCGTTTGAATAAAATTTCAAGTC